AGTTATGCTCGATTTTTTGCCGATTTTTGACACACCACACCAAAAAGGTTGCCCATCACTGACCTATAATGTACCTGTGCATTTTGTTTTTCTTGCCTAAATGTAGAACCTTACTCTTTTCACCAGTGAATTTCATTTTATTAGATAATGCCGAACTGCTAACACTAAAGTCTTACGCTAAAGTAGAATTAATTCATCTGGGCCTGCTTGCCATCTAGCCCACCTCGCAAGGGCATCATCTCTCCGTCCACCTTCCTTACCAAAGGGATCTTAGTTTCTCCCCCGTGCAGGGATCCCAGAGGATCACGCAGGTGTCGTAGGAGGCAGTGGCAAGCAGAGCGGAATCTGGAGAAAAGTCACAAGACGCCACGCAGCCTTGGTGGCCTTCGAGTTTCCGCAGCAGACGATAGGAGCTCATGCTCCAGAGCAGAGCCTGGCAGGGTGAGAAACGACAGCAATAAATAGCAATAGCTGGCAATAGCACTTTAGGCCACCGGGGGGGGGGGGGGGTATTGAAAGGTGATCGCGTCACGTGACATATCGCAACATGGGTGTTTTTTGCTTTTGCAGAGCGGGGTGGGTGTGGCCTGTGAGTGACGCATCTGGCCTGCAGGTCACCCGTTTGACAGGCCTGACTTATATACCGCTTTACAGTGCTTTGTTACAGCCCTCTCTAAGTGGTTTAGAGTCAGCCTATTGTCCCCAACAAAGGAAGAACAATAGCAGGGAGGGAGGAAGAAGGAAGGAAGGAAGGAAGGAAGGAAGGAAGGAAGGAAGGAAGGAAGGAAAGAAGGAAGGAAGGAAGGAAGGAGAAAAGGAAGAGCAATAGTAATAGCACTTATATACCACTTCACAGTGCTTTACGTCCCTCTCTAAACTGTTTACAGTCAGCCATCTGGGCCCTCATTTTATCAACCTTGGAAGGATGGAAGACTGAGTCAACCTTGAGCCAGACAGAATCAAACAGCTAGCAGTGGGCAGAATTAGCCTGCAATACTGCATTCTAACAGGAAGGAAGGAAGGAAGGAAGGAAGGAAGGAAGG